CTCAGGGCAACACACCCGCATATTCTACAGAGATACATCCTTTGAAGCAATCAGCCATGAGGCACTAGAAGAGCAACACTCACACGAGGAAAAGCAGGACACACAGGAATACCTAAGAAGGACACAGTTTGTGTGTGTGGGTTTACTGGGAAGGGAGAGGAGGAGAGTGGGTTAGGGTTAGGGATGGTAATTGGGGAGTGAAACCAAATGTACATGAAATGTGGAATGTAAAACAAATACCTATCTGTAAATTTGGACCTAAAGCACAGTAAAAAAAAAAAAAAAAGAGCCCAAACAAATAAACAAGCAAACAAACTCACTGTCAGCAAGTTCATTCAACTCATAGTCCCCTCCTTGGGTTTTTGAGGCAGTATCTCTACAGAAGTAGTTTGCCCAATCTTCCTTCTGAGGAGTGACGGGTCGGTTTGAACCAACCGCCTTCTGGTTTGCAGTCAAATGCCTTAGGCACTGTGCCACCAGAGCTCCCAAAAATGAGCAAGTAAAGGCAAAGGAGAGGAAACTGTATTCCTGGTAGGTGGTAAAACAAAAACATTCTAGTATGATAAAAGCACTTAAACTGAGCTGAAAATTTTTGATTTTCAGAGTGAAGAAAAGAAGTCAGAATTGTGTTTGGGCATGGAGGTGAGGGATAGTCAATATTGTGACTGGGTGAGGAGAGTGAGAAGGAGTCAGAGTTGTGTCAGCTGTGGAAGGTAAAGTAGTGAGGGAGGGAGGAGGAAAACTTGACTGCTTCTATACTCAAATATATATATTAAGGAGGATATAAGACTAACAAGGGGACTATAAATCAGGAACACTGGAGGAAGACAGGTTTCGTGTATGTGTAGGGGGAGAGCAAGGGATAATACATTTTGTTGTGGCACATGGATCTTATAGTTCTTATGAGACAGCTGAATGAAAATTTGGATATTATCAACTGGAGCTCCTAAAAGGATATTTGAGTGGGCTGGAGAGATATCTATAAATTGGCAAAATACATAAATTAAATAAATCTAAGTAGATTCAGTTGCTGGGGAAAATTTACAGAGTGAGACTAGGACTTATCTTAGAAAATCCTACATGTTATAGAAATGTGACTACATACAGTGTATAGATATCTATTTGTATATGTGGTCGTGGTGGTGTGAGAGTATGGGTTTTCAAGAATATTTGTTGACTAGCCCATAAAAGGTGCTCAGTAAGTGTTTATATGAACTCTGTCTACTCTATACACTCAAAAGATCTTTAAAAAGCTTTAAAATAAGGTAAATAAATTTCATTATCCAACACAGATCATGACAATTAGATCAACAAAACTCAAGGTAATAGAGTTCATTGCCAGAAAATTTAGTTCTTGAAAAGACATTTTTGTTTTTTACGATGTAAGTTTTGGATGTTTATTAAGTATTCATAATATCACCACTTAATTAATGAAATTTGGGTTAGTTATTAGAAATATCAGCAATGAAGAATTTATCTCTGTATACTAGGAACTAATGTACATTAATTAGTAAGAAAAATAAGTAAATTATTTAGGGGCTATTTCATCCAGAATAATTTCTACTGTTTTCTAGTGTCATCTTCCCCATCTTTTTAGTTTTACAGAAATTGTGATACTAAACGGCAATGAAGTAATATTTAGTGTAACTTGAGATGCTTATTTGAGGGTAGCTATTGGTTGGGCAATCCTACTTTCGTAGAGATAACTGCCTCGGAAACCCAAGGAGGGGTCGCTAGGAGTCGGGGCCGACTCGATGGCAAATAACAACAACAACAACATTTGGCATTTGAACAGTATTTAAGTGCCTGATGCTAGGTGACCAAGAGTAGCATTTATTTACTGGCAAAATGTGAATAAATAAATAAATACATGCAAGCACAAAGAAATGCTGCACTGTTTTATCTTTTCCAATTAAGTTGAGTCTGTTTTCAAATAGAGGATAACTTGAGTTATGAGTGGATTAGGAGCAAAAAGGAATACGAAGAATATCATAACATCTGAGCTTAGGAACATTGGAGATAGAAAGGGAAGGTAGGAAGAGGTTATGTTTGTGTCATTCTTGACAGTATTATGAAGCAGTAGGTGCTTCTCAGGGAGCTCTGGTGGTGTAGTGCCTAAGACACTTGACTGTTCAAACCCACCAGCCATTCCTCAGAAGGAGGGTTGGTCAATCTACTTCCTAGTGATACTGCCTCGGAAACCCAAGGAAGGGTCACTATGAGTGGGTTCTGACTCGACAGCAGTTGAGGTTTTTTTTTTTTTTGAGGTACTTCTCATCACTCCCAAAATGCATGATGTAGATCATTTCACAAATTGATAATGAATTCTGGATCTTTCTTATTTGCCTTTTTCATTCTTGAACTTAAATTAAAATTTAACTAAATGCACTCTTTTATCTTTGACTTCTTCTGTTCACAGTTAATTATATTTTCTTTATGAGCTTCCAAATGTATTAATTTAGTCTAAAAAACACTTCAAAGAGATAGAAGAATTTATTTAGTGGGTTTAGTGTAGCAAAAAATGATCTCTTCACTCTGGTATTTTAAGTCTTGGGATACTTCAAAACCAACCACCCCACCAGTTGACAGTGAGCTGATTTTGATGTGTGGTGATTCCACATGTGTCAGAGTACAACTGTGCTCCACAGGGTTTTGAATGGATGAATTTTCAGAAGCAAACTACCAGGCTACCAGGCTTTTCTTCTGAAGCACCTCTGGGTATACTCAAAGCTCCAACTGTTTGAATAGCAGCCAATTATGTTAACCATTTGCACTACCCAAGGACTCCTGGGATATTTTAACAGCTGGTGAAACAACTAATACCCACTCTTTTCAACAACTAACAACATATTCACCTACAGTGTTTTTTATTGCATATGTGAAAAAAATCATATTATACAATTAAAATAATAAATGTTAGTAAAATGTTTCATTGAAAACCAACTATAGTTTTTGATCAGTTTGAAAAGTATGCAACAAAGCAGAATATTATTGTGTATACTCATTAGACCTTGCAAAACACGTATTTTTACATCAGTAGGGTGAGTGAATGAGTGAAGCGAATAAAAATTTTGTATTATCATTAAACCAAAACAGTAAATAATCTCATAACAATTTCATTTGGCTTTAAAATACTCTGCATAATTGCACATTTTTTTTTTTTTTTTTTCCGCAAAAAAGTCATCATGTTGTTTGGGTGAGTTTTCTGTGTTCTCCAAATGATAGCCTTCTCAATAGCTATCAAAGAAGGACAATGTATAATTGAAATTTTTCTTTGGAATCAGCAGATCACTACAATAGAAATTGACAGTTGCCAATATTTCAGCCTCAAACAGGAAGATTTTATGCACACTGTTTATATATATATATATATATATATATATATATGAATATATTGTCTATAATGCTTTCTAGCTTCACATAATCCCACTTTTTGTATCTATTCCTGGCATGAGGACTCTGTGAATACTGGATAATTTATATATCACACCTAGCAGAGGCTATTTAAGTTAATACATGAGTAGCCCCTGCACACACAACCCAGGGCTGATGTTTATATTGGATTTATTGAGGCTATTGTCCCTGATAAAGAGGACTGATTTTATAAGTAGTAATTTGTTAGCATGTGTATATAATTTTTGTAAGAGATACTCTAGAATTCTTATAATTTTAATGATGTTAATATGTATATATATAATTTTGCTGAAATCCATAATGCTCTTAACTACTGCTACAGACTGTACCAATTCTGTGTATCCAGAAGATGTCTCATGACAAAAGAATTCAAGCTTTGTAATTTGAAAAAGGATTACTATGACCTCAGGTAAAATGAGTAAAAACAACCAAAAACCAAACTCGTTGCCGTCTAGTCAGATCCAACTCACAGCAACTCCTCCTTGGGTTTCCAAGGCAGTATCTCTACAGAAGTAGATTGCCCAACCTACCTTCCGAGGAGTGGCTGGTGGGTTTGAACTGCAGGCCTTCAAATGCCTTAGGCACTATGCCAATAGGCCAGAAAATATAATGTCTCTTTGTCACGAATGTTTCTTCAAGTTTCTGGTTATTACTTACTGCACATGTAATACTTTACAAAAGTATGTTTCCTTTACATTAAGTGACGAATGACACTTCAGGACTTGACTGAGTAACAATCATATGTCAAATAATATCCTAAAAATGATGGAGTTTAAAATGCAAAATAAAAGCAATGGAGAGGATTATGGCAGTTAATCATTTTAGGCTTTCCTTTGTAGAATGTATCTTCATTTAAAATAGGAAAACAAATGCTCTTTTCACTGTTTAGTATTCATGTTGTTAGACTGAGTTTATGGTCTAGAATAGACATTAGAACATAAATGCCACCTTCAGATTTTGTTCTTTCCTAATAGTGTGGTCTCGGCAATATACATATTTAGCTCTTCTGAGTGTTTCATACAACTCCCTTTAGTATTCTACATATGATTTTGCTCAGCAGATTTGTGTTATTAAAATGTATATAATGGCATATGGAACATTTGGAGAACCCACATAGGGACTAAACAATCTTATTTATTGTTAACATTCAACTAGTCTACTTGGCACACACCTTGCAGTAACTGTCACAGAAAAATGAGTTGTACATTTTTAAGTTTTAAGAACTACCTATTTGAATAAACCATGATTTTATGTATATAATACAGAACTTATATTCTTCCTGCTTAGATTGTGCTTCAAGCATTCAATAAAACACATTTACTGTGTCCAAGATTAAATCATACATTGTTTAAAATTAATTATTCCTTTTTAATTGCATTGTATAAACAGAAATGACCTGTTAATTTAAAGAAAATCTATCAGCACAAAATGAATTCACTCATATAAACAAGCAAGATGAACTTGACCTTGTTTGAACTTGTTTTGATGTGGCCCAGATGGTAGGCTACATGCTTGAATAGCAGGCTAAAGCTGAGGAAAAACTCATATAGCAAGATCTAGATTTATAGCCTTTTGCAAATTCCTACCTTGTATTGTCCTTTCAGCATCTGTTCTGCCGCCACTGCGGTCAGCTTCTATCTCTGGGGTCAGAGAGTCTAAAAGCATAGAAAGGTAAGAGTGACACATATTTCATTTGATTCCTATTGTCCTTTCTAAAAAGAGCAACCTGTAACTTTGGTGCTGAATTAAAATAAAATAAATCTTTGTCATTCTTTAAAGGTTGAACAAAGACTATAATCACAAGCATTTCAGAAAGATTTGGAAAAATATATGAGCAATGCAAATTGTTCTTAAAATGGGATGGGGGTTGGGAAGTTCTCAGAATAATATTTTAACATGTTTGTGTAGAAACAGATTTGCTGAAGCAGAGAAGCCATGCCAGTACCCAGAAATTGCAGTAAAGTAACAAAACAGTGGAAAATCCTAAGAAAGAAAGCACTTCCCCCATCACATTCAGCCACTCTTCCAACCAAGCTTTCAGCTACAAGTATAGTTTAATAAATCACAATAGAAAAATATAAAACCACAAACACATGTCTAAATTGTCCTTTGAGTATTAAAAATGAAAGTCAGTTAGCCATGCATAAATATGCACCCGCTTACCATTTAAGACCCTGAGACTATCTGTTGAAGCTGCCTGTTTTAGCGTTTGCTCTGCTTGCTCACGCCTTTTTGTCTCAAATTCAAGGGCTTCCTGCAATTTTCTCTTTGCTTTCTTCTCCTTCTTTAGCCTCTTTTGAACTATGGCTAGAAAAGAGAGTTTGTACATTATGTTTTTTTTTTTTTT